CCCCCCCCCCTCCTGAACAAAGTTGAGGTTCTTAGCGTATGCAAAATATGTAAAAAGTGTTTGACTTGTAACAACCAACACTGTTCGGGGAGGGGGGGGGGGAGGGGGTCAACTTGAGTTACATTTGCCTCACCTGAAACACAAGGTGTCCTAGACGTTTTGACCAGGATTGTAGTCGTGATTTATGACAAGTAGGTTTACGACCATGGGTCGCAATAAGATCCCCTTACCTCTTTAATCTATACGGGGAAGAATTCCAGTCTTTCCTTCTCTTATCTGCAACTTTGAATCACTTGACCAGTGTATAAACGCTTGTACTGTGATAGTGTGCTAAGAGGAACTAAATTACCACACGTTAGACTATAATGGGGTTACATTTTCATTAGAGTTACTTGGATGGGGTCGCAGATTTTCGGGATTTGGGGGATCAGAAAATTCAGGTAGGTAGGAATTTAAAAATGGGAAAATTTTCACCTCGTTAAGTTTAACCAATGTGTCAATTCCTTTCAGGATGACCTAGTTTAAAGGCTTTACAGGTAGATGCATAAACAGAAAGTTACTGAGTTGGGATCGCGAAAATTGTATTAGGGGGACCTTACGATCCGACAACGGCGACGCCCATAAAAACGTCGCTGAAAAATAGACTTCGCATCCATTCATTTTTTTCGCGATTATTCCAAGGGACTCAGTTACTTAAAAAAGGGAATTTGGGTTGGAGCTGAAGAGGAGGGACCGCGCCCAGTTCTGACAGAGATGGTAGAATTTATCTCCTTGCCGTTCCCGTTCCCAAGAAAACTTAAAATTTGGTCATTTCTTGTCCTAGTTATGCAGGGACGGCAAAGAGATGTACAAAAAAGCGTGATGCACGTGCAGAGTTGTTGTTTTGTTCACTAAACCCGGCCTATTGCTTTTTTGACGTTCCCATTGCTGTCGCCGTCTTAGTTTCGTAAGGTCCCTATTTTCCCAAAGGTGACTAAGATGGGGTCTACTATTTGGCCACAGAATAGACTATGATGGGTTAGGGGTTCTGAGAACCCAACGGCACATATACCCAGCAAAGATTAACCCAAGTTAGCCCCCAGGAGTATAAGAATCATTAAGAGGATTCTCAATAGAAATAATTTAACTTCAAAGAACGCCAATACTTTCTACTTTCATGTCTGTTTGGCCCAGTTTAAAATGATCGAAACATTATACTTAGCTTGTGGCTACGATGAGGATATTCATGTTCAAAGTCGGAAACGGCCAATAATGAAAGAGGTCATAAGAAGTGTACTTAACAAGGATCTGTCTAGGCTAGTGATTGGGGCCGAATAAGGCACCACACCCATCTGAGGAGCCTGATGCAGTTGATGGACACATAGGTTAAGATCTCAGTACTTTGTGCGGATAAAGTTTTCATAGACAGGCAAATCACAAGGGGATATTTACAGAAAGGAGCCAAAAGTGTGACCCCTTTTGACTTTGATCCAATCAGAAGCCAGCTGGAAACTGTCCTCGACCTCTAACTGGTTTATGTCTGCATGAAAGAATGTAAGGGAGGTCAAACTTTTTGGCTCCTTGCTGTAAATCCTGATCGTACTTTCTACTAGTGAGAGGGGGCCTTTTAAATGAGACACAACTTTGGATGGTGGAAAGAAAGGTACGTAAAGAAAAGTAATCCTCTTAAGTGCAAGTTTTCTGGAACAATAGTTTTGACCAACGACCAGTACTGTGTGTCAGATAATAGTCAATTGTAATTTAAATTACGTAACACTAGTTGTTTATTTAACGTCACTGCGTGATACTTACTTACAGGTTGCATAGATAATACAGATCATGTACTGATTTAAGGGAAACAAAGAACAATTTTGGCTAGATTTAGAGCTACGCATTACAGTAGGGTTTAGCGAGCCAAGAATTAACCGCAGCATTGTTGTAGTTCTCTTTTGTCGAAGTATAAGTCATTGATGTATTAAGAGCTCTAGTTTAGAACGGAATAGACATTGACAGTGTCGCACTGAACGCACTTTGAGAGAGAATAAACGCATTTAGTGAAATTGAAAGATACAGTCGTTGATTTAAAACCAGGGCCGGGAAATATTCCCGAACACTGTGCTCTATGAACGATTGCAGGAAGACCAATGCGCTAAACCTTTAAAATCCAGGGTTCCCAGCATATGATGCAAAGATTGAGGATTCCTAGTGACTCAAGAGCAAAAGTAAGGCCCCAGCCCTTGACCACTCCCCTAGGTTCCATCGTCGTACTTTTTTTTAACGCAAACCTTAAACAGTTTGCAGTGGCGGATTCCGGGCCCCCCTTATTTCTAGACCAAACTGAGGCTCGAAGGGCCTCAAAAATTTTTTTTGAAAATAATTTCCGTGCTCTATCTTTGTAATGATGATTTTTCTAATGATGTGTTTGAAAAGGAGAAATTTTTAGTTAAATTTTTAAAAAAGAGAATCGACTTTTTAGCGAAAGTTCAACAATCAAATGTACATTTTAGCTTTTGTTCTCATAGTCAATAAAATAAAAGTAGTGATTCTCCTACGGCAGCCACTTGAGCTTATATTTGGGACATCACCCAACACTTCCAGAGGTGCGTTGCAAACTATCTGAATAATTTAAAAGCTATGATCTTTTAAAAGTTAAAATAAGAAAATACGTGACATTATTATAGACATAAAAACCATGAAAAATGTACATAGATGTACTCTTCACTTTATTACTAAAAAAGCACCGTTTGTCAATACCCTTCTCTGTATTCAGTAATAGTTTGATAGTGTTAATTTTCGACAACAAGTTCACAAATTCGTTGAAATATAGATTTTTGACCCCGCTTGATTTTTAAGACGGACAATTGTCTTTTACTTAGCTGCTTTTCTCCTTGGCAATCCAAATCCATATTGTCTTGTCTATAACGTTTCTTTATAGATAACTCTGCCACACTGTGGTAAGAAAAAGCACATACAGTAATATAAGGAAATGATACTAAAAGTTGTAGAGTGAGAAGTGATGGAGACCTTTAGATTTGAGGACAAGCACGACTACGAGATTTGACTGACAGTTTTTTCGCGTATTGTCAAAAAACACCAAACACCCCGGCATGCTTCATTGTACTTTTTTTTCACCTGAAAAGCTGGCACTCTAACCTTTATTGGAGGACGTTAAGCCCCCTCCCAATCATAAGATGATAAAACTTTTTAAACATTTAATAACTTGTTTTCGTCATTATGACATCCTCGCTAAAACATGTAAAACTAATAGTAGAATGACGACGGCCATCGCGTTTTGCCGCCAAAATGATGCTGATTCACGCGAGCGCACTACTTAGTATTGAGAAAATCTCTTACTCGAAGTTGTTCTCGTCTTAGAATCGAAAGGTCCCTAATATCTGGGAGGAGGGGGAAGGCGTTTCTCTTATACTGGTTTCTAAGCTATGAGATCATGTTCCACTATTAAGGGTGTGGGCTTTAAGTATCATCGTCATCATCATCATGCTTCAAATACCCTCGATCAATGCCGGCTCTTTCCACAGGAATCCCAAACTTACGAGTGAGATTTGTAGTTGCGTTATTATAAGGGTTTGTATGGAGACTATAGCGATCACTACTTAGAAGCCAAAAAAGGTGACAAAAAGGAAGAAGAATTTCTTGCCTTGTCTCCATGTGTATTTTTTCCGGGCTGTTTCAGAGCGATTCCAGCAAATCTTAGTTGCGCCGTATTCTCACTATATGGAGGGAGCAACGGGACAACTAGAGCTCGCTGGAATCGCAACAAGGTAACAAATTCTGCTGCCTATTTATTACCAAAAATCCTCTATTAAGCCCCCCCTCTCAAATAAGCCCCCACCTCTAATAAGCCCCCCCTCCCCCTTTTCAGAGGAGGAAAGTTAATAAGCCCCCTTTTCTATTAAGCCCCTCCTCCCCCTCCCCCTCCCCTCCATCCTTATTCTTCACAAACAAGTAACGTGGACTGATCAGTTATGGTTTATTCAGGGTGGAAACTCATATTGTTTTTGGTCTTCGGCCGCATGACTTCCAACTTCATGTGCTGAACGTTTTCAACTTTATGCTCTAGTTCTCTGTGGAGAATTGTTACCATTTTCTTATTGTTAGAAAAAGCAGTATAGCGCCCGGTTACCACAAGTCCGTCCTCGAGAAACCTTGCTCCCGTTGATGCATTTCGTTAAATTAAATAAGTTAAGCCCCCCGGGGGGCTTGATAAAGGATTTACCGTACTGTTTTTGAATCCCTTATAGTGGTAACTAGTACCCCTTTACAAGCCCTACATATTTTGATGTTCGACAAAAACAATTCTCATTCCTGTGCTTGGGGTGCTTTTGCTCTGTTCTTACTAACAACTTTCATATCATAGTAGCTGGTTCTTTGTACGTAATAAAAACAGGATAGTAACGTTTCTACTTTAGCAAGTCTTACCGTTTCAGTGTCCTTCTCCATTCTATTGGCCACTGTGACAATAATTCTGTGAAAGAAAATAAATACAACGAAAGTGAGTTATAACTGGTTTTAATTGAGATTTTTGGATTGAAAGCAATTGATGTCGCACTGATTCTATTTACTTGTACTTTCCAAACATTTCCTTCGAAAAAAAAAATAGTTGGGAAAATTTGAAAAAGGATCCAAGCATTTCCTCTTTAACCCTTTCAATGCCAAATTTAGCCAAAGGCAAATTTCGACCAGATTTCCAAATTTCATTTTGTAAAATTTTGAAAAACGAATAGCACTATGTGTAAGTACAGGCAGAGAGGTTTCATTTAAATGGTCACATCATAGGATTTCGTCCACAGACTCAAAAGTTAGAGTCATCTTACAAAACTCCATCAAACACTCTGGCAGTGAAAGGGTTAACGGTGTTGATTTCATTAAATTTCGTGACCTCTTCTCTTGATGGTGTAAGGATATTCAGTTTTAGGAGAAAACTGATGTTGGTCACTCTTGGAATTTAAAAAGTTTTTTTTTCCTGAAGCGACCACCCAAAAATGCCATAATTTTCTGATTGCTTACGGGAACTCGGACACTTTTTTTTCTCAAGCTCGACACCTTTAACTCGGACACTGACAAGGGAACCGGTTTCCGCAGTGCACGTGTTTCCTTAGCCATGGCGCTTAAGTTATCCACAGTCCACTAGTCCACAATCCGTGACAGTTGCACTAAGATAACTGATACGATTGGTAAAGTAAAACACAACATCAATTAGTGCAATAAATTTTTGTAAAAACAGACGTTTCAGCGTATAACGCTTTTTCACTGTGAATAAGAGGTAAGAGGTGAAAATGAAAGGTGATCCTTCTTAGACATTCGTTCAATGAGAATGTTGTCGTTGGTGTTGCTTGTGGAGCTTTCTTACTTACCATAAGTAAGTGGTTGCTCAGATTCCTCCTCGTCCCCCTCTTCTTCTTCAACTTCGTCTTCCTGCTCCTCCTCGACCTCATTATCATCATCATCGTCGTCGTCGTCATCTTCATCGTCATCATCATCATCATCTTCATCACCATTACCACCACCACCACCACCACAACCATCATCATCAGCAGCATCTTTGTCGTCATCATCATCATCATCACCATCATCCATGTAATCATCAACTTCATCAACGTCATAGTCCCCTCTAACATTTTTCACAACGTGACCATTACCAGCTCTCTCTCTGTTGCAGGACTCTAATCCTTCTTTTGCACGACCATTTTTGGTAGACTTACAGCTAGTCACATTCTCTGTTTTTGACTCTGTCAAATTCCCGTCCACAGCAGGCCTAATGACTGCTTTGTTGGTTGAGAGGATCATGTCCTTTTTAAGAATCCCACTTTCTGCAAGACCGTTTACTGAGCCATTCTCACTATCATTTTTACTCAGAGAATTATTTTCTGAAACTACTTCGAGGTTGCAATCTCCAGACGCAAGCAGGCCCTTTCTAGACTTCTTATTTTTCTCTGATTTCTCATTATCCACTCCCCTTCTCTTTCTCATATTTTCGGAATTAAAAATAAGTTCCAATATTCTCCAACTAGAGTCCTTTCTGCTGTCCTCGTTCTGTTGATCCAAGACCTGCCTGATGTCATCAAATTCGTTGCTCCTTTCCCTTTGCAATTGCTCCTCTAGAAGCTTCTTGAACTGAACTTCAGACAAATGTAAGATCTGCAAACACATTTGAAGAAAGTTAGGTAATGATTCAGCCAGAGGTAATCAAGAAAAATTTACTGGTACATACCTCTAAGATGGGATGACCAACAGAGAAAGTCAGTTGATCAGTCGAACGGCTACATACAAAAACGTCCCTAACCTGCGATCAGGCGTTCTTTTCTAGAGTGGAAAGAGCGCGAAAGTCCCCTTCCCCTCGTTTCCTTTTTGGAGGAGACCATTTGGATCAATTTAGGTTTCTGGGAAACTGCCGACCTACCCCTCCCCTAAGCCAACATTTTGCTCTAAGTGAGAGGTAAGTATAAACGTTGGCTTAAGGGAGGGGTAGGTCGGCAGTTTCCCTGATACCTAAATTGATCCGACCTTTTTTGCATGGAGTCCTTCGATCGAGTAACTGACTTCACTGGTTCACTGGCCGACAGAAATAAACGCAAGCAAGATTGGTCAAAGGGTTCATTCACGGACTGACTTACTGGCTACAGCTGACTAACGAGCAAAGAATGAGATTATTCGATCCCTTCTCCTATGAAAAAAAGTGGCCATGTTTATTTTCTTCATTGTTCAAAGCATCCCGAAGGAAAGGGCCGAACGATGATGATGATTTAGCTACATTGTAGCTGGCTGGCTGACTGACAGGTTGACCATCTCGGTGATTCAATGATGAGAGGTTCTGTTTCAAAAGAAAACTGTGGTACGAGGTTGGTGGGGTGTAAAACATCAATGTTTTTTTGAACTCAGTTGATTAAGCATGAATTTATTAACGTAAAAAGATTCGAAGGCTGACAATTGGAGCGCTAGTTTTCGTCACAGGGAATCCACTGAGGAATTGCAACCCAATTGTGGGTTTTGCTAGGTTTATATAATATTGCATACTGGAGCTGTTAATTCTTCCATGTGACAGATGCACATAAGTGAACGTTTTTTCCATGGAATGTTACAAAAAATTTACGTGTTCACTATGTAGTACAATGTTAGTTTACAACCTTACTCGTCCTCAGATGTCTTCAAAACGCGCGTGATGCAAGAACGCAAAGTGGTGAGAAAGAAAATTGGGTGATGGGGAGGGAAAGATGATGAGAAGACCCTTCCAGTATACTTTTCTTCTACCAATCAAACTTCAGCTCTTGCACCACGTGCATTTAAAATAAAACTAGGGTCGAGTCAGAGTCAACACTAACACTGACATTTCTTACCCTCAAAGTAGCATACAAATCTGGACCAAACTGAGAACAACCCTCTCTTCCGAAAAGGAAAATGTCATCCTCTGATGCCACACCCTAAAAATGAAAACCCAAGGAGAGACAAGGCTCATTTACAAGTATATCAAGGGAAAGGAAATCGCCTATTTTAATATTAAATAAGGAGGGGGAAATTGCATATTTTATATCAAACCAAAAATAGATAAGTAATTGTCAGTCAAACAAAAGACAAACAAAAGGAGTAGAAGTTGGCATTTTTCCATGCCAAGAGGACTGCGGAAAATAGAGCCTCCATGTTTCCACTCATGCAATTGATGTACAGTGAAGTAAAATGTACTATTTGGCTGTTCTGCAAAGTACTTAGCCTTGCAATTCTCTCTCTATCTACCTTCCCCTCCTCCCTTCTCCACCTGCAATCGAGACATTTCCAGTCATGAAGTTTGCTTCAAGATCGATGTCTCCTACCAATGAGATTTGCTCCCCTGTCACTTTAAAATAAACTATTGACACTTGTCTATTAAATTATTAAAATATCAGTATAATGAGTATTGCAATATGCTAACCATTTCCTCCAGAAATTTAAACTTAGCATCCACAAATCTTGTTTCCTTTGGGGGTTGGCATGCTTTCATTACCTCACAAAATGAGCCGATGGGAACCTCAACCTTTTTTAGAGAATGGAAAAACAACAGTCAGTCAATAACATTCAATGCATATAATCATAAAATATGCAAACAGATCTTTACAGTCTACTTGTTGGAATGTATATCCATGGAAAAAAAGCTTCCTTGTTCAGTGGACTGTCTCTGCAGGTTGCTTTTTAAGTTATATTTTACTGTATAGATTGCATATACTGGCACAATAATTATCTCTGTAATATTATAGTCTTTTTCTTGTTAAGACGGCAGAATAGTGTACTTTAAACAAAAGGTTTTTAAAATACTTCTGTACAAACTTGCATTGCAAAGGCAACCATTAACCACCAAATTAATAGGGACCAAGGGTCATTTTTAACAGGGGGGGGGGAGACTTTAGGAATTTTTGGGTGGGGATGTGTCTCTGATACCCTGGAACTCTAAGCCTATACTAGAGCTAGTTCAGCTGATTTTTACTACCCTATACTAGACTAAACTCCCCAAGTTATGTTATGTAATGTTAAATCTCCCCCCTATCCTAGAGTAGCTGTTTTCCAGAAACTACCTAGGTTACTTTATAGCACAGTCCAGCCAAAACAAAACCGATCTGATTTTTTATACTTTTGAGTGGCAATTCCCGGTTTCCCTAGTCTAGACTTACATCTTCAACCAATTATTGATCAGTTTCCTTGAAAATGATACCCTGTTCTAGACCCCAACTCTCTGATTTATATACCCTATCCCAGAGTAAACTGCTTGAAAACCATACCCATATATAGCAGTACCCCTCCCCGGGCATGTTTGCAGCTTTCACTGTAATAATATTATTATGATAAATACATTAGCAACTGAATATATTTTTGTGTTATTATCACCATACCATATCATAAGGATTTGGTAATTCATCTTCCACAAAACCATAGGACTGAAGCAAGTGGCAGTTTGCAAGTTTGCCATATGTGTTAAAAATCTCTTGTCCCTAAAAGGAATGAAAGGCAATTTAGGAAATTACAGTGTAAGTGATCAGAACATGTATGGTAGATTGGCATTTTTCCTTCAGTTCAAATTATATTCTTCAAGTCAATTTGACATAATGCTGTTTACAAGAAAACTGTGTCATTTCCTCTAATACAATAGTACCATAGTCAGTCTCTAATACAGTCACCTCTCTCTAAGATGCTATCACTAGATGTCCGTTTAACTGAGGTGTTCATCTTATAGAAGTGTCTGTTGAGAGAGAGAGTCAACTGTATCCTTTAATTTTTATAACCCCACTTTAAATAGACTAATATCAAGAATTAAACACTGTACCTTAAAAATATTTTGTGTTGCTACCATAGATAATGTTTTAGCACCAAACTCTAAGTGTGCATTATTGTTGGTTATGTGATTGAGTATGTCAGCCATTGGCACCATTGCAGGAGCTGCATCATTAGTGTCATCATCATCATCATCATCATCATCATCATCATCATCGTTGTCGTCGTCGTCATCATTATCATTGGCTGGTTTCTGTTCTGTGAAGCTGTATGCCATTACAAAGGCTGCCATGTGCTTATAAAGATCAACAGTGTGGCAGGATTCACTATTAAAGGACAACACATTAATAACAAATTGAAATAAGTACTTTGACATTACTAGATTACTATTACCAAAAATTTAGGAGTTTGATCTGGTAGAGTTTAGTTTAGGTAATTGTATCGTATGGCTCAATTTGTAAACCTGTCTTTGTCTTAGAGATAAGTTGTGGAGTTCCACAGGGTTCATTTTTAGGTCCGTTGTTGTTTTTAATATATATCAATTATCTCCCTGGATGTCTTCTCCGTACCAAAGCACACACATGTATGCCGATGATACCACGATATATGCGTCCTCTGTATCCACTGCTGAACTATATGCCAAGGTAAATAATGACCTAACTCGGGTTAGGGACTGGCTTCTTGCAAATAAGTTAAGCTTAAATGTTACTAAAACGGAGTATATGTTCTTAACAACTACCTTCAAATTATCTAACTTAGGAAGAGACTTTCTAATAAAGATTGGCAACAATCATGTTAAACGAGTCCAAACAACAAGATATTTAGGAATTCACTTAGATGAAAATCTTAAATGGAACAAGCATGTTGACAAACTTTGTTCAAAAGTCAATCGATCCATCAGTGGTCTAAAACAGGCACGTGACTATTGTACCATTAGATGTTCTACATACTATTTACAAATCTCTTATCCAGCCCGTGTTCGACTACTGCGACGTTGTTTGGGACAATTTAGACCAGGGACTTGTCACTAGGATCCAGAAATTACAAAATCGTGCTGCACGCATAATAACCTTTCACCGTTATGACGTTCGTTCAGCACAAATACGAAAACAACTAAACTGGGAAGAGCTTGCCTCAAGGCGTCAAAGGCACTTAAGTTTATTAATGTATGATACAGTGAATGGAAATGTACCTAGTTACTTAAGGGATCTTTTCTCGACTGTCTGTTAGAACAACCCTTATAAGTCTATGCTAAGAAATACGGAATATAATGTTGTACTGGACCATGTTCCAAAAACAGAATATTATAAAGGGTCTTTCTCATACAGAGGAGGAATGC